CAGGTTCAGTTTGGTGGATTATAGTTGCGAATCCTTGATTGTTTAGAGTGGTAGCAGGAATTGGTGGGATTTAAAGGAACAAAAGGGAGACACAACTGGTTAGCTAGTTCAATATGTATAAGATTTTACTCTACCCTAGAATCTACAAGAGGCTGTAGTGTCCGAGTGACATGGTTTAGGATAGGAGTTACAGGTAGCAATAACTGGGGTTTAGTAGATGTCAGGGATCTGCCTTGAACTTACTGGCAGGAGGAGCCTTTTGGATGAACTGGGCAAGAGGTGATGAAGGCGGCCTGCAATACAAGCATTTCTCTTCTGCAGTTAGCCACGAACTACCTATTGGGATGGGCTCGGGATGCGGTTCAATTGAGAGGGAGAGAGGAGGTGACAGAGCGGAAGTTGACACCTCCCACAGCAAAATTAGTATGGCTCGGATCGGGCCCATACAATGTGCGTACACATGGCCCACCTACCGCAAAGAATGATGGCCCTTTGGTGGCCCAGATCTGGTTTACCAGAGGTGGCCAACACATGGGCCAGCACAAGGCCAGTTGCAGACACACTGCTGGCCCTATGCTGGCCCAGAACAGTTTCAGCTCTGGCCCCAGATGTCAGCCTAATGTGTACCTTAATCAAGCCAGGTAATAACAACATGTGCCGTATTTAGCACAGATTAAAAATGTCTCAACAAAGGTAATGCAGCAAATTTATTTTGAATGGAATAATTTATACAATTCAAAATTAACAATATATCAAATAATACTGGAACATAATAGTAACATGACGAAGCTCTGTTCAGACAGTGAATGGACTGATTCTTATATAGCGCTTTTCTACTCTCTCAGATTACTCAAGTGCTCTATAAAACATACCACATTCACCCACTTTCTCTAAACTGAATGCTTCCTAGCTATATTCATACACATTCACAGTCCTGAAATACAGACTTTAGGAGCCAGGGATCAAACCACTAACCTTCTGATTAGTAGGTGACCTGCTCTACCTCCTGAGCTACAGCCACCCACTGGTAAACATGAGTAAACCCTCACTAGGTTTTGGATAAAGTGAACACTCACAAACCTGTCAAACCTGCATTTGAATCGTTGGCTACCATAGTAGTATAGTATAGCAACATGGCATTTGGGTCTTCTAACTAAAATAGGAAAATAGGAACATAAACAGTGCCATCATTGCCAACCTGGCCCACATCTGGTTGACATATACCCTGCCATGTCACCAGTCAGTCAGAAGTGCCAGCTTGATGCCGGATCCGGGCCAGACCTGTTTTCTATGAGCCTGGGCCACATAAACCAAACCACAATCCGGCCAGATATGGCATGCCATAAACAGGGCCATCTACGCCAGGCCTGGCCCATATCTGGATGACATACCAGTTACCATGCCAGAAGTCAGCCAGCAGTGCCGGCTTGACACCAGATCCGGACCAGATCTGTCTGCTATGTGGGCTGAAGCGGCGGTGCGGAGATGGAAATTGGAGACAAACAGAAGAAAGCACGGTGGGACTTACAGTTCTTTCTGGCCTCTCTTTCCTTCAAGCGATTATCTGTCCTGAGAGGGAGAGAGATCAAATCCTTGAAAGAGGAAAGGTCATCATGGGAGGCTACATGATCCCTCACCTGATCATTGAGGGCCTGGAGAAAAACTAGCCAGCCTCTGGCTACTTCGATTATGCCTTCCAGGGAGTTTTTCTCCAGGCAGCAGACACAGACGAGGCGTCTGCTGTGTACGAAAGTCAGTCACAAACTCCACAACACTACGCTTCCCCTGCTGTATATTTTGTAGTTTCTTAGCTGTGCTGCTCTCAGAGTGAGGTGAGAGAAATTTTATTTTAATTCTGCCAAAAACTCATCATGCGGGCAGGAAGAGATCGGGTGGAAAGAAAATCAGCCCATGCGAGTGCTTTTCAGCATTCCCACTACACATAGAACCAATAACCAGTAAAGAAGTAATATTTAATTGTATCTTTAGGTGCTTAGTTTGTTTCCATCTATGAAAAATACCAAAGAAAACACAGTCTGACAGGCATGGAATAGAATTTTTAAGTAATTTAAGTCATTCCTAAAAAGTTGTTTACCAAATACTTTGTCTTTAAAATATCATATCTCAGCATAATGTGCACTTCATCATTAAAAATAAATCTGAGGAACCTGGAAAAGTGGAGGATGAAAGAAGAAATGGCAAGCCTAAAAAAACATTTGCAACAAAAGGGAGTCTGTCAAAAACATTCTTAAGAAAGGGAAACGGGAAATAAAGGCTGAGCTGTGCCAAATTACACAAAAAATGACTGAAAATCTGTGGCAACAGGGAGTTTGTGGAGTTATAGATGTATCTAAATTTGCAATACTTGGTTCAAATTGTTATCAATAAGTATGTAGGAGGAGGTCTGAAGAGAGGTACAACAGTGAGTGTCTACAGTCATCTGTAAAACCTTGTGGAGTCTTTGTCATAGTGGTTGGCATTTCTATGTATGTTTGCACACTTTAATAAATCACTGCATCAATTTTCCAATTTCCTAACAAAATATAAAAAATAAGGAGCTCAAGAATACTGCAGGGGACTTTAGTTGTCATGATCTAATGGCTAACATAGTTTATAAGCCAGGCAATTAATGCCTATTTCTGGTTTAAAAAATAAATAAATAAAAAAAACCTTGACATTTAAACAGCCTTATGTGGAAAGTCATACAACAAATTTGGCAGCTGTGCACTGGCTTCATTTTTAGCCAAGGTTGACACTCAATGCAAGCAGTCTTACTGAGAAGCAGATACAGAAGACTTTGCACCAGTAATGAGCCTTTTCATACAGCCGCTGTGCTTCTGTTGACCTTTTTACAGTACAATCAATAGCAGACACGCCAAAAAAAAAAAAATAGTATTCAGTACTATTGATTAGAAATGTGGTCAGGTTTACAGTTCTTTATGTCATATCTCTTGATGATGACTCAGGAAGTACATTTAAGTCTCAAATTGCGTACCTAACTAACTTAGGCTACAATTTAAAAAGTTTCTTTGCAATGAGAATAATTTGTCATTAAGACAAAGACAGGATAGTTGTGAACATGTTCTATTGCAGTCTCTTTTCAATAATGACTTTCTAATATGAACTAAATATCCTCGAAAGCTTGAGATGTATGACATAGAATTGTGATCACTCTAAATGAGTCATACAGAGTCTGAGGGTCTATTCAAGAAAGAAATGATTCAAACAGATGAACCATTTATATCTTTTTGAAATCATGGAAACATTTGACAGGGGACCATTAAAAGATCATGTGTACAAAAGCTTTTTCCTCCTTTTCTGCCATTATGCCCAGGATTGTCTCTATGAAGCAAAAACTAGAAAAATGTTAAAATACAAAAATTAACATAGCAATCAATGTCTATAATTACATTTAGCTAACAATTTTCTGTAATTTAGTCTGTGCAATAAGGTAACAGACACAGTTAGCTTCTGGCTTTGGTCATTTGGTGACTTGAAAAACATAGCATGAATGAAACATCTCTAATATGCATACTGGAATGTTCTTTTTATCACCATCAGTCTCTTAGTTGACTAAGATTGAGATCACTTCGGTCACTAGATGTGCTGATGAGCATTTTCTCAGATATTTTGAAGGATTTAATTGCTTTTATTAGACATTTCCTAAATTTATGTCTTAAACCTTTCTTCTTCTCAAACCCTTGATAATATCTTAGCTGTTGAGATCAGTCGAAGACCCGTGCAATTCCATGTAGCCAAACTGACAACACAGGTGTCGCCAGGTGTATATATATCTGTGTGTGTGTGTGTGCTTCAAGAAATGGTTAGGTATTTGCTGCACGTACCTGCATAAGGCTCGAGGAAAAAGCTATATGCATCAAACTCTCTCTGTGCAGCTGCTCCCTGGTTGAGCATATATGGAGTTGGGAACAAAATGTTTTTGTATTTGCACCCTATTTATATTTTTATTCCCACAGTGTAGAAGCAACACCTCTAGAACATCACTTAGAATTAAAAGTCAGTGGAGTAGCCTGCTTTAATTATCACAGCACTGCTTGATTGCTGCCATAACTTACAGATAATTTTCTGCCCACCAGCTGTTCAGCGTTGTGAAGCTAAAATGATCAGATGGGCACAGAGCTCTGTCATGCTCTCCACTGCATTGCTGTATCTTAAATTAAATATTCCAACAATAATCATACTATTTAAAACCTCAGAGTAAGTGGAGTGAGCCAGTGTGTGTGTGTGTGTGTGTGTGTGTTCAGGTCTTTCTCATGTTGTGGGGCCCTGAACTTGTCACATAATGGGGACATGTTTCTTTATGGGAACCAAAAGCAAGTCCCTTTGATGTTATTCGGTAATGTTGTATGGTTGAGGCTGGGTTAGGTGTAAGAAGTAAACACTTCATCTGCTGTGAACTGAAGAACTAAAGGCAGTGCTGACACATCTCATTAGCGTTCCCATCCCCGTATTAGCTCCTGAAAAGGACTCTCTGACTTCAGTGATCTCCAGCCTAATGTTCAGTTCAATTTTAGCTTGTGAACCGTCCAGGGTGCAAAATCTGCTAAATCACAGCTGGGAGAGTCCACTATCACATTATAGCACACGTCATAAATTGTAAATGCAATGAATGAAACACTGTATTAAAGTAAGGTTATGGTCAGGCAACTCGAAAGTCACGAAGTCAAGGATATGCATTCTCATGTTTGCGTGTGTGACTGAAGAGAGAGAGAGAGAGAGAGAGAGAGAGAGAGAGAGAGAGAGAGGTAGGAGGTTGGTGGGCGCTGCAGTTTTCTTCAAATTCAAAGTTTTTCACCTCCATCTCTCTGCGCGTTCACTCACTGAGAAACACGCTGCCGATGAAAAACAACGCGCTGCTCCACTGGTCTAACCACGGGGCGCGCTCCCACGCAGGAACCTTCCTCTTCTATTCCTCCAGCCGCTCATTAAGTGTTTTTTTCTTTTTTTCATTTTCTTTTCCCCCCTCTTTCTGTTGCAACATGAGCGCTGAATGCAGCAGTTACTACAGCGCTGACGGGGTGTTCGTGGACTCGTTCTCCTGTCCTAAACCAGGGAATGCTGCCGCTGCCATCTACTGTTGTGGATTTAACGATATTAAATATTGCTGTGATGATGCAAACAGTTTTTTCCCGTATGAGTACGGGTACATGTGGTGGCTCAGGCAAGTGCAATTTTATTTTATTTTCTGCCTTAAAAAATAAAATAATGTGCTTGTTATCAGTGGATGAGCTAATCACTAATAATCACAATATTGTCTTCATTTTTAATGTTTACTTTTTTGCGCAATAAAAGCCTCACTTAACTGACATTATTGAACCCTTAATTTTTGAGAAATCCAATTGCCTCTGTTCCTGCTGTTCCTTGAAGACTTCAGTTCATCCATTCACTGCATAAAGAACTCGTTTTCGTTTTAATTCTGCGAGTAAGACCCATCTAAGGAATGCACTTAAAACATTTAGCAGATAAAAAAGTTGTTTTTCACGTTCATTGTGTTTTTTAAATCCTCACATCAGTCAGTGTCCTCTCCTCTCTGTTCATTAAGGGATCAGGTTAAAAAGATGTTTTTCTCTCTTCTCCTCTCAGTATCGGTGCTCTGGTCGGTCTGTCTATAGCAGCAGTCGTCCTCCTTGCTTTCCTCATCACTGTGTGTGTCCTCTGCTACCTCTTTATCGTCACCAAACCCACTCGTCGTCTTGACAACGGCCTACCCCTAAGAGCGCCAGGTTAGTATGAATCCTCCCCTGAATTCCCTCTGATGATAGGAATTTGTTTGTTTGTGTAATTTCTGACAAAATCTCAACACTTTTACTTTTTATTTTTATCAATATTGAAGTCTTTTACAGAGAGCTCGTAATAAATCATTTTATTCTGTGCAACTGTCTGTGGCTTCTTGGCAGGAGATCCCAGTGAGGGGCCGAGTCATGTGAGGGTGCCCTGCGCCGCTGCTCCACAAAGATTCAAAAATCCCTTTGTGAACAGGAAGGTGGATTGTGACAATCAGTCGCCAGACCCAGAGCACCTTTTCCAGAGGTGTTTTACACCCACAGTCACTGGAGTGAAAGTGGAAAGTCCTTCATAAGGACAGCAGCACTCTGTCAATAAGGCAAATCAACGAGGAAACAGCCTTGTGGTACAAGTGGACAACTATGAATGAGAGGAAAGTAACTGATACAGTGTGAGCGGTGGCTGAAAGGAGTATATACTGAGTAACACAACTTTAGACCAGTAGTAAGAAGCACACGCTCAGAAGGCTGTGACGTTTCTTGCCTTGTTGACATTTTTCATGCATTAAAGTCGTCTTTCCTCGTGGCCTCCTCACGGGTGGAAATTACTTATCCTCCATCTTTTTGGAAACTAATGCATAAATTTGGCTTTCTGAAAGCCAAAGATTCATTTGAACACATGAATCATTGAGTCATATGCAGTTTACAGTGAGGACATACAGTTTTAAGCACATTTATGTGCTGAAGATGTTGCATTTGGGTAAGAGAAAGCCAAGCTAGTGTTTTAAGTCGGGAGGCACTCTGATTTGAATCTTCTACATTTTACTCAGAGACTGAAGGATTTGTGGGAGTGAAACGTTCCCAGCACAACACAGAACTGCACCATCAGTTGACTTTTCAGATCTTTAAAGTGGCTTATGTTTACATTCTCTGGACAAGCAACCTCAAGTAAAACCCTTTGTGATGGCTGGAGGCGGGCTTGAATTGTTGGGTATCTCTTATTCTGACACTGGAGTTTGTGGTTTATATTCTGTGTCCTGCTGGCAGTCCGGTACAGGTTTCTTATAACCACAGTCATCATGTTTCTCTAACATAACCAACAAGGATTCTGCTGAATCAGTTAACATGAAGGAGTCTGATGGCAGCGTAATTCTCACAGATTTTAGAGTTAAAATCGCATCACTGTATACCTGAATCACTTTTAAAGGATACCATTGTTATTCATTATTATTGTGAAGAATGAACCAGTCAACGTATGCTGTGCGCTGTACAGTCTCACATAAACAAAACCTCTTCTATTGCATAAAATCTGGGAGGCAGAAGAGGATCTAACACAGACGGTACTCTGATTAAAAAAGTTGAACCTGAATGGAATAGTGAGGTGCTACATCAGTGAATCACATGCAAGCACACATTCCTGGGGGAGTACATTTCCACTAATAAACTGTGATCATTATGGCATAAGATCTATTAACTGGTGATGGCAACAAATGCTTAGAATGTAAAATTTTGTCTGAGTACTGTTAAGCGCTGTCCAGTGTTTTGGCACATTAAAAGCCTTCAAATTCATGCATCTGCTACTGAAATGGCACTTTGCAGCTGTATTTAATGGATGACATTAAGCCGAATGTTCCCCCAGTACTGGCTCATGTGGTTCGGAAACCTAAAATATAGGATGAATAGATAGGTGTTTCTGGAAAGAAGCATGCATTTTATTGTAAGAGTGTCCTCTAGTGGCCATAGTAATAATGACTAAGAAGAGGAGGAGGTCAGGGTGGATGGATGGGTTGCTATAATGCTGTACTTTCAAATGGTCCTAAGCAGTGTTGGGGTTGTTATGTATTTAAAAAAGAGAAAAAAAGAAAAGAATGTATTACACATTAGTCGTTACTTTTCTTAAAAGTAATGCAGTATGTTACTCAATTACTCGTCAGAAAAAGTAATTAACTACACTACTTGTTATATTACTTTCTTGTCACATTGTAACGTGACCTGAAACACACTGTCACATAATCACCAACAATATAACAACATAAACCTGAGGCTACACTTTAGTAGCATTCTGGGTTCTTGGCTAGCTTTGTGTTAACATGCTGTCCGTGCAGATGCCTACAAAGAGCCGAAGCTGTGTTAGCAACTGTTATGGATGCAGTTTGCACTTTACCATCGCACTCTTGTCCCTTTGTACAAACCCCCCCCCAAAAAACAGAAACTGTGAAACTGAAAAATTCAATGTGATTACAATAACATGCTACAATGGAAGAGGTCTGCTTTAACCTAATGCCATTTTTCCCTCATACACCTTACCAAGTTTTTTTCGTGCCTAAATCTAACCAAACCGAGGTGAAAAACATCTGTGATCAAAGGTGGAAGTTTTTCCAGGACAAAATCAAAGCTTTCTGACCACCGTGCCATTTAGTCAAGAACAATTTGTTAGTCTTTTTTTATGTATACAAAGCTTTTATTGTTAGGACATCTCAAGCAAGATGGTGCAGACAGCAAGCCCTATACAAACACAGTCAGCTTTGATGAGTTTCAGCTTCGCTTATCATGTTGGCTTTCAAGCTTTTGTGTGATGAGTTCTGATCGGTTTTCACTGTTATTGTAGAAGCTGCTGTTTTGTGAACTCACTAGAAGGCTGTTCTTAGTATGTTCTGGATAATCAAACCTTTCAAGTGCACTTGCTTTTTGTTTTTTGTTTTTTTGTTGATGATCTGAATGTTGATGCGAAATGAATGCAAAACGTCCAATATCTGTGCTTTGATTGTTCATGTTTTAATTTGGTTACCGAGCTCCGTAACCAAATTAAAATTCCTGTTTCAACACTGTGCCATTTTCTCTGTTAAAACGTGGTCTAAACGTAAAAAAGAATTTAAAAAGCCTCCTTTAAGAATTTTTGTGTTTTGCTAGCATGTAAGTGTGAGCTCTGTTATTTAACATTAATTTACATTTAATGAAAGAGGAAAACGAGATGTTTACTAAGTTTCATCCATATTTGTTTGACTAGAATGGCTTTCAAATGCTTCACTTGAATGTACACATTCACACTATTCTTCAAAGAGCATCAGTAAAACCTGAATGAAAGTACATCACATCATATGTCATGCAGACGTGGTGCCTGATCAACTGCAATGTGAATACTATTTAAGTGCACAACATGGAAATTATTTATCTTAAAAATAACACCACTCCTTGCGCTCTTATTCTCTTTTCATTTTCTTTGGGTGATCATAAGGTTTCTCTGCACAAACATGCTTTTCAAAGAAATACTTAAAGTTAATGTTTGTTGTTTTTCTATTAAATGTGTTCAGCTGAGCGACTGATGATGATGAAGCCTTTGTCTGGCTCACTTTCTATATTGCAGGCTGCTTTGGTGGTTGAAGAAATTAAGAGACACAGATTAGAACGGTCAGTGAGACTCCGAGTTAGACAGATTTGTTACTGGCTCTCAGTTCTTCTAATCATTTCTCTGCAGAGAGGCAGAGTCTCTGAAAGCCAGCAGGAGTGACAACAAGCCCTCTTTGATCATCGTGCACTGCAGTTCAAAGAGTTAGGCACGCTGGTTATTAACCTTATTTGGGTTGTAAATAAAACTATACTTCCATAACAGCCATCAATTACAGGTACAGCAATCTGTATGTGTAGAAAGCACCAAAGGCATTTTGCTCACTCTGAGTATAATGACAAAGAATATAAATGGCTTATATTTTAGATTCTTTTTACAGTCTAATTGCACACAAATCTGAGTGAGTAATGTATTCCTGTAATAGAGAACAAGCTGACTTTTAGGACCTTCATTAGCATCTACTTGCTTCACACTGCAAAGATTCATGTATTCAAACCGATTGCTTTTGCCTGGGAGGGCTGATCTGCAAGACCTGTTAGATGGCAAATGGACAACTGTAAAAGCATTTTGTAGATGTTTGTCATAATGGTACAAGTGACAGCAAACCAATTAAACCTGCTGGTTTAAATGAATGCAAACCTACTGTAAAAATCATACCAGAGGGGCCGATGGCGCGATATGGCAGCCTCGCTTCTGTCAGTCTGCCCCAGGGCAGCTGTGGCTACAACCGTAGCTTGCCTCCACCAGTGTGTGAATGTGAGAGTGAATGAATAGTGGCATTGTAAAGCGCTTTGGGTGCCTTGAAAAGCGCTATATAAATCCAATCCATTATTATTATTATTATTACTTTATGTATTTGGAGGACTTCATTTGTAGCTCACATCTAAGTGCTGCACTGTGTAAAAATCATTTCATAATCTGCTCTAATAGCTCTTCTGTAGATTTGGCTGTGGGGAATCACAGGAGAAAGAAACTCCCAGCAACCCTAAATTGGACAAGTGGAAGAGGATGGATGGGTAATATAAAAAAGTTTTTTTTTTTATTGAATAAACTAACTACTAAACTAAAACTAAAAAAAAAGTTTCACAGAAATTATGAACTTTTTCTGTTTGAAAGAATTTTCAAACAGGAACAACACTGTGCACGCCTAAAGACTGTGTGAACATCTAAAGATCTGAAGGCATCAGAAGACCAACACAGAAGTCATTGGGCTCCATGAAATCTGCTCAAATCCCTGCTAAAGCCTCGGGATCTGAGTTTTTGAAGGGAAGGCATGACCGTGTATAATCAATTGCCTGAGTCATTACTCTCTTAAATTGTGTGCTTTGCAGTCATTTTCCACTTTAGTGCTTAGGATTCAGATAGACCTATTAACAGAATATGATATTCATAATTATATATGTATTATTTTTATTATGTTCTTGTTAGTGTATCCTCATCTGAGAATATGAACCGTCTTTAAAATAAACAATTAGTATCTATATTATTTATGGCCACTTTCCTCCAATATAAGCTGTTGGTAAGACTAGAAAAAACTATTTAAACATGAATACATTACATTACAAAATCTGTCTATGAGTCTAAGAATTACAGACATTTTCATATACAGTTTTTAGAGGCTCAAATATAATTGGATAATTGACTGTTGGTATAGTATTAATTATATTTCATGGCAAATCAAGAGATGTGAGTTAAACCCGAGTGTTGAACTTACATTTGGTAGTGATTCACTGGAACTCTCAATATCGATGTGAGTGAAGGAGCAATAGGAGTGGTCAAATCAACAATTTGGTATATTTTTAAAAATAAAGCACGCACTGACCAGCTTAGCAACAGATGACAAGTGAATGATGACAGAATTATTTCAGGGGTTAAGAAAACCAACTTGACAACATGTAACCAAGTCAAGAAAAGCTAGATGTATCAATAAAGTCTACAACTGAAAGAGACGCCTTCATGAATGGAAATATTGTTATAATTACTATATGTCTCGGTATTCCTAGATAAACCTTAACCTCCTAAGACCCGAACTCTTCCACGGCATGCATTTTTAATTTCTCTTTGGTATTTGGGCATATTGGGGCCCATCCATCCATCCATCCATCCCTTGTAGAGCAAAATTGAGTATTTTATTCTAAATAACCCAAAATGTGATGTCCACATATGTGGATGCCAGGTCCTAGGAGGTTAAATATGCACTTTGGTGGAAATTGAGAAAACGAGCTGCCCATGCACATTTGTTATGTTAACGTTTAAAACAAAATGCAATTAAATGGTGTTAAATAAACAGGTGTTTGTTAATGCCGATCAGTTTTTATATGAATCCAGCTCTGTTGAGGAAAGAGCACATCTGCTAAGCCTCGGGTAGGATCCAAATAAAATAATAATCGTGCTTGGCAAGATCTTCCAATAAAACCTGAAATTTACAAACTAACCACCTGCTCCACAAGGACATAATTTTCATAAAGTCCTAAGATGAAAGTGAAAAAATTTGTCTGGAGTTGATTAAAAAGAAAAGAAAAAAATCAGTGAAGAAAAGTAACATTCATCAAAGATGAAAGAACTCCTTACATAAAGCTGATATAAGCAAAGAAACCAGCGCTGCTTAAGAACCACTGAGCGCTTTGAGTATGTCACTTTGAAGCAGCACCTAAAGGGGTCTTGTGTCAATTTCCATACTTTCAAGAAGCTACTTCTGTACTGAAACCTGTCTTTTTAGAATTTGTCTTTGAAGGGTGTAGTTCATGTGTCATAATGTCACCTTGAGGTATTGCGAATTGGTGCTTTATAAAACTCAGTTGAATTGGATTAAACTTTTTGTTGTTGTTTATAAGAGATAGAATTTTAGTATAATACATTTTAATAAACAGAATATACAGTATGTACAGTTTTAAAATTACACAGTTTAACATTAAAGTGACTGAAAGGTGAATAAATAATTGTCAGTGACTAAGAGTGAATAAAGTGTCGGTAGTATAAAAAGAGTGTGGGGTAGTTTATGTTTCTGGTGTGGGAAATGGTCTGCTGGAGTTAAAAAAGCAGAGTGGCATTGGGGACAAAGGTGGGTCTCCTCCTCTCAGTCCTGCAGGAAATGCAGCGGAGGCGTCGCCCAGAGGGGAGCCATTGAAATGCGGGGTGAAGAATGTGAGAGGGGTCGTGGATGATTTTGGCTGCCTGTCTAAGGGCCTGTTGACTGAAAACCTGTGGCAGAGTTCTGACAGGCAGACACTGATGCAGTGTGCTGCAGTCTGTTCCTGTTCCTGTTTCTGTTCCTGGCTGAGGGAGTGGAACCAGCAGGTAATGGAGCAGGTCAGGATGCTTTCCAGGAAGGCATAGTAAAAAGTCATCATGATGGGTGTGCTGACTCCAAAGGAGTTGAGTTTCCTAAGGAGGTATAGCCGTTGGTGGCACCTCCTGAGAATCTCCTCTGTGTTGGCAGAGAATTTCAGGAGGTTGTCAAAGATGGTTCCCAGGTATTTGTACTCCTCAACTACCTCCACTGGCTTCCCGTGGATGGTGGTGGTGACTGAAGCAGCCAGATCCCTCTGCCAACTGGAGAAGGTCACCACCATCTCTTTGGTTTTGCTCACGTTCAGTTCAAGTTAATCACATTAGTTAAGTTATCATCAGGCACCTCACTGCCTGATGATCCAGCACCGACGTCTGTTATGCATCACAGTAATTCAAGATATATAGATTAAGTCATGAGGAGCTCACAATAACACACCGTTATACATTAAATAAGAGGAAATATTAAGTATTATTTTCTCTTTTGTATAAGGAGATATTTTAAGTGCATGTTGTTGTTATTTTCATGATTTTTAACATTACAAAAGCGATTGTGAGCTAACACAGCTGCCCCCTCCACACAGAGCTGTGGAGGCTCTGTGGAGTGTCTTTGTTTTATGTCTGATGTGATTACAGTGCCACTGTTTGGCCCAAGAGCACAGATGCATCAGTGTAACTGTCCTTTTACTCATTAACTCTCTTTGTTTCCTGCCAGCAGGCTTTTCATTACTTCCAACAGCAGTAGAGTTTTTGACTTTTGAAATTATTTTATATTCTGAACAAAAACACCCACTGCTTCTTCATGGGGGGTTGTTTGATTGTTGGGGTTTTCTCTGTGTTGCTGTAGGGTCTTTTCCTTACAATATAAAGCACCTTGATGCAACTGGTATTGTGAGCTGGTGCTATATAAATAACATTGAATTGATTGAATATATAAAAGAAAGTAGTTACACAGGGCAAAGAAAAAATTATAAACCCAGTGAAGTTAATCATTAACATCTGTCTTGAGGATATGGTGCAAGAAGGGAGACATTATGGCGTGTCTTGTAACCTTTGCCCAGACAGGCCTTTTATTGTTTTTGAAGCAACTGAAGGGGAAAACAAAATCTTAAGCTAAGAAGACCAAAATACACCTTCTCTATCAGTTTTGGCACAGGTAAGGACTTTTACATAGATTTTTGTGTGCTTTGCAGTGTGCGTAACATGACATTTGTGTTAATGATAATATTAAGTGACACTACTGAGTGAACATAGGTATGTTGTGGTCATATGACTTCAGTGAACCAGCTACTGTGCTCTGGCCAGCATTAGAAGGTAAACCGAGTTTATATTTGGAAAGAAAACAGGCTAGTGACACAATGTAAAGAACATTACAGTCGGTATACACACATCTGCTGTTGGGTGATAAAGAGAGTGCTTTTATTTTAAGATTGAAGGTAATTAGTAAGAAATTAAGGTCTTTTAAAATTCCTCTGGACGTTACTAAAGGCCTGACAACATCATGTGACTGTCTATGTGAAGAGAACTTAAATATTTTTATCTTAATGTTGTGATTAAGGTCAAATCATTTGTGATCTTTTATCTTATACAATCTGAGCAGGCTTCAGATACTATACTCATACTATCTCTGATGCTTCCGTGCTACGATAATAATGATGATGACTGACAATTTATGTTTCGTCCCAACCAGACAGTGTAAATGTATGGTACTCCATGAAACGGGAAGAACGAGTAACATAGATAAGATAGGTAAGATAGTTAAGAGTAAGAACAGGTGTCCAGTTTGTCAAATGGAAGCTTAACATCTTAAAACTGTAAAATGATGTTATATTGTTATCACTTTATTCATGTCACTCTCACTGCTCTATGTTTCACAAGATGCCTTGCTTTGGTGTCATAAAACGAAATCATTTAGTGAAAAACGCATCTTTTGGAAATGGACAAGCTCCAGACGATTTCTCTTCGCTTCCTATTGAGCACCCTGCAGCTCCTCAGGGTGCTCCTGCACTCCTCGATCACTGACGTGGTATTTGTTGGTTGTTCCTCGTACGAGTCTGGGACCGATTGAGGGGGACAAAGGCTTTTAAAAAAAATTATGGCCCAAAATTTAACTTGGCTTTGTATCACTGTTAACAGTAGTTTCATTTTCTTTTATATTTTGTGCAGCACTTTGTAACTACAGGCCTGTGAAACTTTACTTTGCTTTAGCAGGTCTTTTTTTTTTTTTCTTACTGCCTGTGCAATCATCCTTTCAAATGCAATTTTTAGCAAAATCGTCTGCCTTGTAATACTGCATTCAGTCCCGCTGACATTTGAGTTTAATCAAGTCAAGTCTTATTCAAGGTATTCGCCAAAGTTCTGTTCTTTTGACTCCAAATTTCCTCTCTTGTTTGGATCACAATCCTGGTTACTACTGTATTTATTTTTGTAGATCTTGTACAGCGAGATGGGTCTGTGGAGCTGTGGCATCAGTGTGGTGCTTTTTCTCTGTAACGTTGCATATACTGCTTCTATATCAGACGCTGTCAGAGAAAAAGGCACCCAGAAACATCTTCTGATTGAGCTCGAAGGCAACACTAATAGCACTGGCAAACCAAGTAAGTAACAAAGTAAACAGTAACCTTTTATTTCAGTGTTATTCTTGTTTGAGGGGTTTAATATTCTACTATACCTAATCCATAGGAAATGTTTTGGGTTCTGTCTTGTTAGATTTTGATGAACCAAATTTTTTCCTGCAGAGACAAACAGCTCATTTGAGAGCCCAAAGGTGGAATTCTCCTATCTGGCTATAGCGTTGGGCACAGTCATCACCCTTTCACTCTTCATCGTGTTGGTTGTTAAGTTTCGCGTTTTACATCGCTTTCTGGCCAGCTACAGACACTCCCTGCTCCAGGAGTCGGATGGGGCGAGCCAGTACGGTCAAGAGGACATGTCTTTCCCTAACAATGTGTCCGGTAGGATGGGAGTAGTCAGAGGGACTCAGCCCGGGTTGGATGATGACGACGATGGCTTCATTGAGGACAACTACATCCAGCCCGGTGAGAAGCACATGCCAGAGGGACAAAGGGAGGATGACGAGGTAGAGGGGACAGATGACAGTGACGACGATCTTCAGTTCACTATAGGGTGATTAAATACATTTTTCCAAAGTGACCGGTTTACAACAAAAATAATGAGACTCCAAAAGTTGATTCTGTTCATCAGGACGCAGCGTTTCCATAATTAAAGTTTAAAACTTTTGTGCCTCATGAGCCCTTAAAGAAGACAGGATTATAAACTTGACAAGAAATAGTAAATCAGAATTTCTTTCTTTTTTGGCCTGCTCATATTGCTCATTTTGAAACCCTTAAATTTATTATATGACCCCCAACATGGGCCCCAACCTACTTACTGAACAGTAAAGTTTTTTTGACTGCAGAAACTTCTGAGCCACGCAAATGTTTTGACCAAATTATCCGTTATTATTAGATAACTGACCTTAAGAGGGGCCAAAATTAATATAAAACACATTTAAAGTGCTGCATTGACCTCTGTAATGTTGACTCGTTGTGCAATCAGAATACCTTTGATTTTTTTCTTTTATGCTGTGTAGAAATTGTTCTTAAAGCTCAAATGTACTATATATCGATATGGATTCACATATTACATATGCTGTGTATGTAACTCTACATGGAAAATATTTAAAATTACAACATTCAGTTTATTTGCTAATAATGATGTTAATGTTTATATCCTGCTAAATGCTATTTGTTTTCACACATGCCATTCAATTATTCACCTTTAAGTTACCTTTAAGTTTTTTGTTTTTTTATTACATTTCTGCTGACAGTGAACATCAAAGAGTTAAACAACTTCACACTCACACATCTTTGTTGTAGTCTGAATGTTTGTTTGTATGAAATTACTTTTTTGAACATTCACGTCTTTAATAAAGTCGTTCTTATTGAAATTACAACACAGCGATGTTTTGGTCTGATGTGACATCTGCTCTTTATTTACAACTATAATCAGTCAGACACAGCATAAATGAGCCTTCAGACAGTACAAAGGAGGGAAATATTCGCTTATCAAATTACAGAGCCATTGTTGACAGCAGCCTATTGTTCTTGTAGAAATGATGTGACTGCACTGCAGTGATGGTGTTTAGAGCTCAGCAGTCAGTTTTTATGGTAATGGAAAACAATAAAGAGAGTGGAAAGAAAATTTGTGAAGACTTGATTTGGATATTGACACAACCTTCTCGGTTCTACTATTAGTTCCTTTAGCTTTAAACCACTTCATCCAGTCTCAGATATTTTAAGTCCTTTCAGATCAGGCTGGTCCTGCTCGACGAGGTCTCTCTCCTGGCTTGACTCATTTGTCCTCCAGAAACACTGAACACACAGACAGCTTGATTCCCTGTCCTCCTCATTCTCCTCATTCTCATCCTCCTCCTCTGCTCCCTTCTTCTTTTGATGTATGCCAGCACACTATAGCCCGCTACAGCTAGAGACATGCCCATCCCTGCAGCCATCAACACCAGACCAGAAACCAACATTTCCCTGCTGTCGTGACCTTGGCTGCCGATGGTGGCCACAAAGATTAGCACCGTCCCACACAGCATGACTGCCAGCCCTACAGCTAAAATCAGCGCGGGGTCGGCCCTCCCACCACTTTTCAGCTGGTCGATCCGACGCCTGCTGCGCACGCAGTTCATGTCCTGGATGGCAGAGCTGAGAAGCTGCTTGAGCAGGACAGCAAGTGCCAAGAGGCAGAGGGTGGTGCCCACCCCTAGGCGCCATTCCCCAGATAGGCTTGTGGTGGTGGAGAGGAGCCCCACACCACCAAGGCCCAGTCCGAGTATGAGGGCAACAGAGGCACAGTAACACAACAAGGAGCGTTGTGGGTCTCTGGACCACCATAATTCCACTTGATCTTCCAGGATACGTCGCTGTATAAGCCTAGGGTCCAGGTAGAGGCTTGAGGACCGACGTATGGGGTAGTAAAAGGTCTCCATGTCAGGTATGGCACAGCTCAGACAGCCAAAATCAAAGACGACACCTTAAATTAGTGTGGAGAACATGGGTTGATTGTCAGAATATTAGAGGACACAGATTTCCAAAAGCACAAGTAACTTTTCTATGTCCCATGACTGTACAGAGAACACGCTGTGCTTCACCTCCTGTAAACACTTACTCACTTGTGCTAGATGAGTGTCTTGTATTGCTGTCCATCCATCTGCATCCCATCTGAAAACCTCAGAGAAGTCAGTGTGAAAGATCCCACAGTTGTTTGGTTTCGTTGTTTCATTCTGTAAAGAAAGTGATCTCTGCCTTGAGCAAAAAAGAAAAAAAAGAAAAAAAACTGCTATGAGGAAAACTTCCAGTATTTCAGGTACTTTGCTTCATTTGTTGAAGTTGGTTTCAGAGATGAAAGTGGATGTAGATGCCAAAAGTGTCCTGAGTCAAACTGGAGACAGAAGCAGGGGCTCCCACAGTGTGAAACTCCTGCAAGCAGAGAGGTAATGGCAGTTACGTAGCTTGTGCATGTGTCGTTTCATCAAGGCTTCATCACCACAGCGACTGTACTCATGTCACAGATCAATAATCTGTGTCCTCTTTAGAGCCCTGTGCCAGGCAGAACAGACACCAACTTCTCTTCTCATCACACGGGACCAGCATCTTGTCAAGTTAAGCAGGAAAAAAGACTGGTCACAATAGTAGTGTTGGATCATGGTTTGGACAGAGATTGGCGACACTGTCCACCACGCTCCATCACAGACAATGGGCTGACCGATGAACACAATGACTGTGCTGCAGAGGGTGGGTGATGGTGTGTGGGGGACGTGGATGGGTGTTGCGTTGCTCCTTTGGAGGGCTGAGTGATGTCAGTGTGCACTGATAATGGTGTTTCTGTGATCCCAAGGATAGCGTCACTCAGACACTGGGCTGGATAGGTCTCAGTGAATAGTGTATCTCCTCACTGAGGTGCTAACTAACCTGGGCATCTCATCTATTTCTTACACACCTGGCAATACTGAACATTATCCATAAAACCATTTCACAGGTATATTTCTTTTCTTTTAAAAAAGAAAAAAAGGTATATTTCTTTGCTTTCCTGCTCTGCCACCTCTAAAGCTCAAAATAAAATGTTAAAAAAAAAAGATACAAGGTGTGGCTAATGCAGTGTAGTGCAGCGGTGTATTCTGATGCAGTTACATCTAACATAATTAAAGATGCCCCCACCCCCAATTGTTCCAGTGTAATGATCTTGCTTTCATGTGTGTTGACTCAGTGACAAGTGGCTGAGGCTATAATGGAGTCACTGCAGGGGCGCTAACAACTAGAGAGGAAGTATAGATTGAAACAAAGTTGAATCAATATGAGTTATGAAGGGAAAAATAAACAAACGAGTTTGCTGGTGTTAGCATGGTGACCTTTGATTTACTAAAATTCATCTTGAGTCATTTTTATTCTATATGAGCAATAAAATATAAATAAATCAGCTGTTGGGAAAGATGGATGAACTTTTATTTAGATTTAGATATTAATTTCTTCACAGAAATATAAACTCTTAGCAGCAGTGTATATTTTATGCACTTTTGGAAGCTTTTCAGTGTAATTCCAGTCACAATGGTGAAGGCTGGGTGACACTGGTAGCATTTATAAATGCATCTGCTTGTTCAACTTCTCCATCCAGAGAAGTCAGCATATTTACTCAGATATACCCATGCAGCTGTCTGGAAACCCCTGATGGACCAGTCGTTCTCATGACCAAAGTACTGAGACCAGTACATAAATGCCACTTTCTCCCCCTAGTGGAGTAATAAGGTAATAAAGTAGACCCTATTTCAATTCTGAGGTTTTACACATCAAAAATTATTTTTAAAAAATTATCTGGTCCTTACCAACTCTTAAAATTAGGTAAATACAACCTCAGATTAATAACAACACAGGGCACCATACCATTATTTATTTACCAAAAATAAGTGTAACCTATGATTCAGTAGCTTGTACAACCACCTTCAGCAACATTAACTTTAAGTAATCATTTTCTGTAGTCATCAGTCATCCTTTACAACATTGTTTCAGTTTGTTGAGATATGTGGGTATTTGTTTATACACAGCTATGAAAGTCCCTCCGATCAGGGTGAGGTCTGGACTTTTACTGGGCCATTGCAACAACTTGATTCTCTGCTTTTTTGTCATTCTGTTGTAGATTTGCTGCTGCGCTTGGGATCATTGTTCTGTTGCATGACACAGTTTGGGCCAAGCTCTAGATGTTGGTCAGATGGTCTTATATTTAACTCAAGGATACTTGTGTATATGTTACGTATGGCCCAAAATGGCCTCCGTACAAGAAAGTAGTAAGCTCTAAGGAACCCCCACACTGCAATGGGGTACACAAGGTTTATTTTTTTCCTCAGAGTCAAACTACTGGCTGAAGACACAACTCTGGCCAGGAGTCCAAGGCCCAAAGCCACCACGGTCAGGGTTGTTAGCCTGGTTACAAACAGGGGAAGGTGGTCACTTGGAAGAACAAGCAGCCAAAAACATATCAATCTTGCATCTTCCTCAGAAAGGTTTGCCACCCACCTTTTCAAGCCTGGTGTCGTTCAAGGGTGGCTCTCCACATTAAATCCTGGGGCTTCCACTCTTGAGCTGAAGCTTCCCTAAACTTGGCCAGTTTCCTTTCCATGGGCACGGACAGTCTCCAATCCAGTGTTTTTCCTCCCAGCAGATCCACACAAATCCTAATTAAAATGAGTCCTCCCTCCAACATCCTCAGATTGTTTTAAAAGCAAAACCAGGCCAGGTTAAAAATCCTTTCCCTTAGAACAGGGGTTTCAAACTCAAATACGCAGTGGGCCAAAATTCAAAACTGGAACAAAGTCGCGGGCTAACATTAATATTTATTGAAAAACAAAATCTTCCTCCAGATATAAGAATGAATCTTTTCTTATGGACTCAAACAAGTTTTGCTGAAAAACTGAATATGGAACAAGCAAAGCTTAATACTAAACGATATATATATTAGCTGTATAATACCAGTAGGCCAGCTCTATATGGAAAAGATATATATAAATCTTATAAAGTTTGTATCTGTCTTGTGTGAAACTTGTATGAAAAGCATATAAGAGTGAAAACAGATATAAGATCCCTTGAAAAATTATATAATGAAACTTGTATGTTTTGGATACTTATTAAAACAATGTATGAAAGTAATGAGAAAGTGGCCACTTTCATGAGTAATCACATATAAGTTTTTACTATTTGTTTTCCATATGGGTAATAGTAATTTGGTATGGCTTCGCGGGCCAAATGTAATTAGGCTGCGGGCCCAATTTGGCCCGCGGGCCAGAGTTTGACACCTATGCCTTAGAATGTGCACACTTCACCCTGGAGTCTCAGAGGCTTCCCTGCTGCACCAGTGTAAAAGCCTTCCAGTTTCCTCTCCCCTTTATAGAGAATGGCTCCCATCCTTCCCAATCAGCTGCTCCCTGTACTCAAATCCAAATAGCTGGCAGCTGGACTAGAGTAGAATCTCCACTCCTCACACCAAACACAAAAACCCCCACCAAAGTATGCGATTAATACAACACCCCCCCCCCCCCCCCCCCCCCCCCCCCCCCGAAGTAATGCCAACCCAAAAGTTTAGTGGGGGATTCTCTCCATTCTTTTCCACCATGCTATACTCCGCAACATATGCAGAGAAGTTGACTCAATGACTGTAAGATTCCCAGGTGCTGTGACTCCAGCTCATCATCCCTCCACCACCGTGCTTGACAGTTGGTATGAGGTGTTTGTGCTGACACGCTGTGTTTGTTTTGTTTTGTTGTTTTCCGAACTTGGTGTTTTTTGTGGCCAACATATCTACTTTGGACTCATCTGTAGAAAGTTCATTGTTGCAGAACTTTCATACTACCCTTATCTGTATACATCAGTACATCTACATTTGCCCGTAGTACACGTT